TGAGATTCTGGGTGGAAAATTTTAGATCTAAACCATAATATACAATACAAAATAATAAAGTTATTATCTTTCTTTCTCTTTTTGTTTGTTTTGCAATACTAGTATTTGATCTAGGAGTACTGAACTATAGCCTCAGCCCTTTTTAACTCTTTAAAAATCTTAAGACAGAGTCTCACTGCCCAGGCTGGCCTTGAACCTATGATCTTCCTGCCTCAGCCTCTTCAGAAGCAAGGATTACAGGCATGTGCCACTGGGCCTGATTCTTCCTTTTGTTTTTAATTTTTTTCTACATATTTCAATATTCCTCTTCCTTCGTCTTTTGTGTCTCCCTCCCTTATATGTGCTTTTCCTTCTATTTCCTGCTTTCTTTTCCTTATTCCTTTTTCATCTCTTTTTACCTCTCTCTTTTCCTCTTTTCATTTTTCCCTCTTGAATTATTTCCCAATTATTTTCTTCCAAAATTGACTTAGTGTGGAACCTATACACAACAGATTAACATACTGGGATGTATTGAATAAAGTATTAAAATGTCTTGTCACAGCTTTGAAGATGAATTGAGTGCTGAATGAGTTGAATGCTTTCTGCTGCTCCTTAAAAACTAACCAAGTTGGTTTTGATTTGAATATTGTCCTCTGCTATTTTCCATCTTCTATAATCCAGTAGAATCAGTTAGTTTTATTTGACAGTCTGAGAGTGCTGTTTCTACAAACACGAATGTGGCTGTATACCTCTTTGATGGAGAAAAAAGGTCTTCAAAACAAAACTAAATTTTTTCAGCAAAGTACTCATTTTCCATAAGCAATATAAAGTTTAAGCTTTTCTCATGTACTTTCTTCCCAACAGAAAATTTTGCTGATATTTTTCTTTCAGAAATTTGTAGCTTTTTATTTTCCTTTTTAAAGAACCCTGCAGGACACATTTCCCTGGACTCTCCAAGCCCACAGCGTTTTAAAATGTCCTCTGCTTCACTGTTTTTGACATAGAATAGTCATCATGTTTGTTCCTCCTTTTCCGTTACTCAACCTGTCTTCTTTTTTATCTTTCATTGATATCATTTCTCTGTGTGTATTTTCCCCTCACCCCCTTTGAAGACATACAGACTGGATAGCACAAGCATTAATGCTCTGACATCTTCCTATCTCAGTTTTCCTATGCCTGTGCCTCTCTGTACCACATTCTTTTGCTCCTTTTCTTAGCTCTGCTTTACTTTGCCTCTGTGTCCTACAAGCAGCCTTTAAAAGAGGAAGAATTCTTTTCCAATATTTTATTTCCACAGTCATTCAAAATCTACAAGCCAAGATATTTTGGAGTTAGGTGTAAAACAACAACAACAAGAATTACAGTGTAATTTTCCATAATAAAAATGCTTCTTTTCAGTCTATTTCAATTGTCCCCGCAGATGCTAAAATCATCTTAAAATGTACTTGATCCAGTAACGTATCCAGGATGAGTATGGAGTGGGAAGACTCAATGTACGCCTGGAGCCAAGGTATCCTGCAGGTAACTGGCGCAGCGGGAGTGTTTCCGAATGGGCTTTCCGAGTTTTCTGTTTGCCAGAGCTCTAAAGACAGAGCAGTGTAAATGAATGGGCGTGAGGGGAGAGGTGGGGGAAGTTGGCAAGTTACAGCACAAAGCTGCTGTCAGCCACGGACACTTTTCGGCATCGCTCGTTTAATGCTTTTATGTTACGTGAGTTTTGCATTCTACTACACAAGTACCCACTTGTGTAGTATATTTTTGTATAAAAAATTCTCCCAGATCTCCAGATGAAAGTGCTGGTTCAATTAGGGGACATGTCCGCCTTGCTCCTCCTCTGTCACTCAGCACTGGGTGGAGTGGAGCAGCCCTAGAAGTAGCAGTGTCCGGCTAGCTCAGCTCCAGAATCGCAAAGCTGGGGCATCTCTTCCAGCTTGCTAACCGTCCTGCATCTGCTCACTGTTCCCGCCGGTGAGCAGGAGAGGCCGCGCCGAGAGGCAGAGTGGGACGCATGACGGTGGTGGCTACTGCACCAGTGGGGGCTGTGTTCAAATGCAGCAGGCTCTGTGAGCCAAGGGTGAGTCGCCCCGAGAGGAGGGACTTAAAAGAGACGGAGGGAACTGCACTGAGAACGTGGGCCTCACATGGGGCGATTCCCCCAAAGGCCTGGTTCGTGTCATGGTAGAAGGGAAAGGAACTTCATTTTCCTATTAGGCGTTCTGTTATTAGGTTGGTCATTTAGATCCAGATGTAAAAATACTATAATAGAATTACAAGGGTATATAAGTAAAATTAACAGAATAACTTCAGTAGTAGTGAATATTGGAGGTATTATTATTGAACAGAAAATTTACTGGTGAAATATTAAAGTAAGCCATAAAACATGCCATTAAAGTGACTTGGTTTTATTGGGAATAAAATGAATTGCTCGGACTAAAATACAAACAAGGTCTGAGGGCGTCTATCTTATGCTTATTTGTGTGAGGCCCTGGGTTCATTCCCTAGCATCCTGCAAAAAAAAATGTGTGTATATATATATATATATATAAAAAAATATGGAAGCATAATTTAATGGTTTAATTGGTATATGGCATAATTATATAATATACATTATACTATGCACAATATACATACTGCATATGATATATGTTATGCAGATTGTGTATAGTATATTATATATGCATTATGCATAATATATACCTATTATACATAATCTTATATATAGTGGTACTATATATAATAGTATATATATAATAGGAACAACATATCATATAATATTATATTATGAACAGTATAATACACAGTATATAGTATATTTTATATAACACACATATGCTCAATGCATAACTATACGTAATATATTACATATCAGTGTATTTACATTGCACATATTTATATATTTATATATATAATATGCTATGCATACTTTACATTATAAACTGTATGTTTATATATCACAATTTGTCATATATGTAATAGCTGCATTATATTTTATATGGAGCTCTAGATGTGCAGAAATTGGGCTGAGAATGTGCTGGCCTCTGGCGAGGTGCAAGTGCTAGGAGTAGAACAAATGAAATGATGCAGGGTGAAGGGCAAAGAAGAGCTGAGGATGGGTCTGAGAAGTTTTCCTTTTGTCCCTGACCTGTGGCTCTGGTTTCTCTAAGATCGCATTACCTCTTGCTGTCACAAGAGGTTGCTGAAGTAGCCGAGGAGCTCTGGGACCATTTTCAGGCATTCTTTGTTTCTCCCACCATCCTGGCACTCTCTCACTTGGGAGCCTATGAGGACCGAACAGGTTCCTTCTTTGTTCAACGCTTAACCAGAGAAGCTGTGAGGCTGGGCCTGGATGTGCACTTTCTTTTTAAGATGCGGAAACACCTGTTCTCTTGCTGCTCAAGGGCTAGCACAGGCCCAGCTGCTCCTATGCGTGGGAGGTGGTTACAAATGCAGAACCTGAGCACCTACCTTACTGGACTGAAGCCCCGTATGTATCTTGCCTTTCCGTAGCGCATCCCCTATTCCCAGGTGGCAGTGACTTCCTGGAATGAGTTGGAGTTTGTGCTGCCCCTTCATTAATCCATTAGTTCACTGACCCACATCAATGCTAATCCTCATAAAAACCTTCAAAATACCTCAGCCTTTCTTTTTTCTTTTTTTGGTACCGAGGATTGAACTCAGGACCTCACACGACTGAGCTAAATCCCCAGCCCCTCAGTCTTTATATTGCAGATGTGACTGGTGGGTTAAACTACTCATCCACGGTCACACAGTGGGAAATGGTGAAGATGTCGCACCTGTGTCTGGATCTCATTGATCTCTAAGTTCTTTCTCTGTTTCTCTACAATACAACTTTTTCATGAACTTCATTGTGGGTAGTTGTTTTTGCATTAGGAGAATAAATCCCATTTAAAAATAAGGTTCTAAAAGAAAGCCCTTTTAAATGTGTTAAAAGAAAGAGACCATTGAAGGATTGTTTCCATCATGCTCACTTCCCATGTGATAAAGCAGAGAAGGCAGAGCATCCTTGGTCTCTGGCTTTGCTGACATGGAGCAGGAGAGGACACTGTCCCTTCCTGCGTGCTTCACCCTGCCCGCCAGCCCACTGGCACCTTGCTGCAGCTGAGGCAGACCCCATCGCCCAGGGCTGAGGTTTGCCAGGTGCTGAGTGTTGTGTGTGTTGCACCGAGCAGCCCAGGTTCCTCCGTGCAACTGTGCAACTGTAGTTCCAGAGCTGTAAAACTATTTGCGTTTTCAATCCATCAGATGGCTTTGAATCAAACCTGTGCCAACAAGGCTGTTTGAATGCGTTATGTTTGCCAAAAGAGGGTAAAACTTATGACTTCCGATCAAATTATTAAGAAATACTGTATTTTCAGAATAGCTGTATTTTCCAGGGAGAGGCAGGTGCAAGCGAAGAAATTCCATAGAACACTGGAGATGACCCCGATCGCCTTTGTTCTTGGAAAATCCTGTTCAGCTGCACAAATAGAGGATGAGACCCACAGCACCTGGCACCTGGGGCGGGAGGGCCCTGCATGTGTCTGGCTCCGGGGTTGTGACTCCTGTCCAGGCCCGGTGACGGCTAATTAGGGCTGTGCACGGTGTCAGAGCAGGATCTTCAAATGAGCCACCGGTAGGAGCATGGAGGGAGGATGGGGACGCCCCAGCATTTTTAGGGGTTCCTGGGCATCAGGGGCACAGTTTCCATTTGCGGGAGGGAGGGGAAAACACTCAGGTGAGGACCTGCAGGCCAGTCTGGGGCAGGGGCGCCGGCCTCGCGCAGTGCAGGGGGGTCCCTGGACTTGGACGAGAGAAGTCGTGGACCCCAGGGACCTGTGGACCCGGCGGCCCCTCCGCTCTACTCAGAGCCCGGAGGACTCGGAGTGGGCCTCTAGGGAAGAGACAAACTCATCCTAAAGGTCAGTGCGGCGTCCGGGAGCGAGCGGCAGCGGGTAACTGGAAGCCCTGAGGCGTCCCCTGCCGGGCAGCTGGGCGGTCCCTCCCTCCCTCCCCTTCCGTCCTGCTCCGGGCGCTCGCCTGCACGGGAGGGAGGCGCACGGGCTGTCCGGGCCGGGACCGCGCGGCGCTGTCCGAGGTGCTGCGGCCCCGAGCGGGCTCAGCGAGGGAGGCGCCATGGTGTTCGCCCCAGGTACCCTCTCTTCCCTGGAGTCCAGGCGGGGGAGGCGGGAGGGAGGGGAGGACAGGCCTCCGCCTCGGACCTCGGCGCCGTCTGGACCTGGGGCGCCTGGGGTCGGCCGCGGGCCCCGGTCCTCAGACGACCCCAGCCCTGCCCGCGTCGTCCCGGCCGCTCCTCCGCGCCCGCCGGAGCCCGGGGACCCTGGGAACGGGACGCTGGCGGGGCGCGGGCGCGGGGCGCGGGGCGTGGGGAGCGCTTTCGCCTCTGCCCTCTGTGGCAGCCGCCAAGCGGCCCGGCCCGGGCTCCCGGGACGGGGAGGCGGAGGGGCGCAGCGGGCGGGCGGGCGAGCCTGCCTGGGAGCCGGGCCGGAGCTCCGCGAGGCTGCAGCCGGGCTGCCACTGCGGCGCCGCCGGGGGCCAGGCTCCTCGGTCCTTGGTCCTCAGGCCTGCTGTCCACGGCTACAAGTTGGGAAGACTCGGATTCGCCTGCGGTCCAGCGGCGGGGCGTCCGGGTGCGCGCCCCGGGGCCCGGACCCGCGTGTGCCGCCAGGAGGCTGAGTCAGGAGCAGGAGCCCGGGAGGCGTGGTCGCGGTAACCCAGGACTCTGTCTGGTGTGTGTGTGTGGGGGGGTGGTGGTGGTGGTGGTGGTAGAAAGTTTCTCTCTCTCTCTCTCTCTCTCTCTCTCTCTCTCTCTCTCTCTCTCTCTCTCCCCTGTATAACACGGAATGGGAAGAGTGAGGGGCGAGGACTCTAGCTTTGGTGCAGGTCTCTGAGTTGAAAGGTCGCTTTCCCCTTGCCGTGGTCACAAATAGCCGGGGACCAAGAATATAATACGCTTTTTTTTCTTTTGGAAAGGAAAGAATTGAATCTGGGTTCAGAACGTTCGATTAGCAAAACTTGGAAGAGGAAGCCAGCCCTCTGCCTCCCCGCCCCCACCCCACCCCAGATGCTGCCTGGACCAGTGGGGCTGAGTCTCGTCCGCTGAGGCCGCGGCAGGTAGACGTGCAGAGGAGGGGCAGAGGGGAGGCCGGAGGCCTGCCCTACCCAGACAGGACAACTCTTGGCCGGCCGGGGAAGCGTCCTGCGCAGTGCAGGGCATCCAGTCCACAGAGAATGAGTGCAGTCAGGGAGAGCACAAAGAAAACAAAGCAAAGACAAAACCCAGCTCCTTGATGGATTTGTAGAGCACTTAACAGGCATGTTGCTATGGCGTTTGATCTTCCCTTTGACCCGGAGATTAGCAGCATCCTCCGCACTTTCACCTGGCGCTAATGCCGGGCATTCTTGCTGGGAGTCGGTCTAAGCGTCCCCGACAGCTCGTCGAATTGAGAGCTTTGAGAGCTCGTTGTCTTTTGGTTGGAGGTCAGATGTAGCCAGAGGCAAATCTCCGCTTGGAGGGAGGGTGGCGTCGGATGTTACCTGTCATCTCCCTCAGCGCCGCCCTGGTAAGGGCAGCCTGAGAACCGAGGGGAGTCTCCTCGGGGCGGACAAGTTTTAAACAGCGACGTGGACGGGGCTTTGCTTTTCTTATTCCACTTCCAAGTTTGGCGTTGGGTTCCCTCTCTCTGGGTGGGAGAGTAAACGAGACTCATACCTGCCAAAGATGGCCTACACTGACCAGGACGGAATAGGTAAAGAAACCTGTGAATTTTTCTCGGTTTCTTCAATGCTGAGGTTTTCTTGAAAAATTACAAGCATTTTGGGAGCAGTAAGAACAGGATGCTAGAAATATTATGTCAACTGAGCTTCCTATGTATTCCTTGAATATTTTCTAACTCTTCCTATGATATTATTCTGAAAGAAACCAGAACAATGCCTTTTTTTTGAACAGCTAGTTTTTAGCATTACATTGCATTTCTAGCATATTGCTCTTCTAAATCACTGCATCCTGGCAATCCAGACATTTTGTACCAGTTAAGAGAGATAATTTCCCACTGCTTTCCTCTAAGCTGATGCCACATTCAAGAAGGGAGGAACAAACTATGTGCTAAGATCACTCCAAAACTAATAAAAGCCTGGATATAACAATAAGCAAGCAACGGGCTGTTCATAAAATTGGGTCAATGGGTACTGTTCCCTTCGAATCAAATTGTAGCTTTTTTTTAACAGAAGTAACCAAAAGGCCTGAGGTATAGTTCTGGCCTTGCCTCAGCTAATTGGCTTGTTTTGAATCAGTCTTTGCTTACTAAAAGGGAAAGGTGGATGGGGATAGAGATTCATAATGCAAATTTCAGTCCTGAAATACAAGGGAATGAGGAGGAATTGGGAATTTATACAAGCCCTTGCTGGAATTCTCTTTTACCAAATGCTATAAAATATACTTGCATTCTCTTGTTCCAGTTAGTCTCTGGACTTATTGGAACAGGGCTCAAGTTGGGGAGAGTCTCTAGGCGCTTCTTTGTAGGGCAGGCAGCTCAATTCTGCACGGTTCCTCTCTTGTTATTGGACATTGAAATTTAGGAGGGTTTTAATTTCATGCAAACCAGTTTTTAAACTCCTTAGAGGTAAATGGTCATGACTATTAATTTTTTAAGGATTTAGATAGCTGGAACCTATCACTTACTTCTTCCCTCCCTGGGAATTACACAAAATTAATAAGAGTAAAATGAAGAAGAAAGCCTATGGGTTTCTCTGTAAGGACTGTACGTCCCTAAGTAGAGGTTAAGCCATGTTGGGGCACATGGCATAGACTAAAAGTAGAAACAAGGCCCCATGCTTCCTCATCCTAAGCTTCTTTACTCCTCCTCTTGCCATCTCCCCAAATACGAAGTGGAAGATTGAGAAGCATGGCCCCACTGCCAAAGGGAGGGGATGTTAGCCAATCTGAGCAGGGCTCTGGTCTCCACTTGTAATTCTAATCTGACTAGATTACTTAGTCTGTGGTCAGATGAAAAGCTTCCTTCCATTCACAGGGCAAGAAAGTAATGAGAAGAGATGTCTGGCTTTTCCGCATGGTGCTGTTGGGGTGTGTGCGTGTGCGCGTGTGCACGTGCGCGCCTGCATACATCAGGGCTTCTGACCCATTTGTAGCCAGCGTTGAAGTGGAAGAGGTAGAAAGACCACTGGCCAATGGTATGAAAGCTGACACGGGACATGGGAGGATGTCAAGGTATCTTTTGGCCTGATTCTTGCCCTTTGCAGTAGCATGGTAGACAGCTAAGTTGGTTAGAAAATATCACAAAATAGGCAAGCCTGCACCCTCAACACAGAAGACACAGTTACTACAGGTCAGAATTCAAGAAAAAGAGGAATTACTACCCCCACAAACTCGCCCTAGGGATGAACAGCAGTGACTGATGTTCGACCAATGTTGAGGGGGCTAACATTCTAACCAGTTCTCTCTTTTTTTTTTGGTACCAGGGATCGAACTCAGGTCCTTCTGCTTGCAAGGCAGGCGGCGGAACCACTGAGCTAAATCCCCGGCCCTGATGTTCTAAATAGGCATCAATCATCTTGGGTGGGGACCAGAACCTTCCTAGCCCATTCCTTCCGGGAAATCCTTGTTTGTTCCATGTACACTTGCTGTATGACTTGCTTCCTCATTTGATCCCCATTTAGTCAATATTACCTAAGTGATTATACTTTTAATCTTATTAGTTGAGTAAAGTTTTGCCTCACCTTGAATCCACCTCACTGAGTGGCTTTGCTCAATAAAACACCCTTGAGAAGCAGGGTTGGCGGGCTAACCACTTTCCAGATCCCTTCCTGTCTCTCTAAGAAGCTGTCTTTCTCTCCATAAATTCTTCCTACTTTTAACCTCCGTTGTCACTAGAATTCATTCTTCAATTTCAGAGAGCACAAACTCAGCATTTGGGACATCTAGCAGGTTGGGAATTATAATATTTCCCTTACATTATTTGGAGATCCATAGATCACATGCCCTATATCAGTTTCACCCAAAGGACTTCAGATTCTGAACAATCAAATGAGTAACTCCTGTTTTGAGGCATGGCCAATAAAGAAGAGGGAATGAAGTAAGTGTGGATAGGCATTCCCTTCCCCCAGCAATTAGTATACATTTCAAGGATGGATGTACTGCTCTCCCAGATGGGTTTAATATATACTAGACTTATTTGAATTTGCTTCAGGTCACATGCCTTGTCCAAAAAAATTTTTTTCTCTGTCATGTAAATTAGGCAAGATAACAAGGATTTCATGAGAGTATAAAAATGGTGTAATTGTAAACAGTTAGGCACCCAGTCCCAATGTCTAAGCTTGGTTTGAAGAGCATTTAGCATCCATATTTTTAGGGAAAACTATCAAAGATGTTTAAGAAAATATTTATGGCCATGTAGCTTTTACTCATTTATATAAATCTCCTACCAATTCCTGAGAGACTGGTGAATAAATTATATGACAGGGTATCCTGTCAGCTTTGTATTCTGCCAACTCAATACATTTTCTTCTATTAGCATAGTCCTTCTTAGTTTTTATTTACTTATTTTTTTGGACACAGGGTCTTCCTATATGGTTCAGGCTGGCCTTGAACTCACAATGTAGCCGAGACTGGCCTTGAGTTTGTGCCAATACTACTGCCTCAGCCTCCAGAGTGCTGGGATTACAGCATGTGCCACCATGCTCAGCTTCAGCATACTTTTTAAAAAATTTTACTCATTTTTTTTAACTTAAAAAAATTTACATACCTAAGGCTGGGGATGTAGCTCAGTGGTAGAGCATTTGCTTAGCATGCTCAAAACTTGTACTGGAAAATAATTTTGTTTACATGCAGCAAAGTTGACTTTTTTAGTATATAGTTCTATGAGTTTAAACACACACATATATTCATGTAATGACCCTGGAACAATTTCATTACACTAAATTCTTTTTTCTTGTGCTATCCTTTGCAGTCAAATCCTTTCCCCACCCCTGATCCCTGGTTACCATCTATTCCTGAAGATTTGCTTTTCCCAGAATGTCACTTTTTTTTTTTCTTCATACCGAGGATCGAACTTGGGACCTTGGGCTTGCGAGGCAGGCGGTGGAACCACTGAGCTAAATCCCTGGCCCCCCAGA